TCAAGACGAGCAATGGAATTTTCTCTTTGAGAGTGAATAAAGATTATTTATGACTTATGCTGATAAGGAGAATTAATAATAGTATTAAGCCAAAAATTAAGAACAACCAGGAGTAAATTAATGATGTTGATTTAAATGCTGTTGCTTGGTTGTCTCAAAAGTTTAGCAACCACAAGCCACATTGCATTCCCCATTCCTTCTCTTGACTATCCAACAAGGTCCAGTCTATTTATCCAAGATTTTATTATACAATAAACTATATGCTTGGTTGTAAAATTAGTGTGGCAAAAAGTAATGTAGTAACTTTTCCACACACAAAATAACTAAGAAGATGCCTCTTAAAATGGCTAAATAATAATTATTTATGAAAACATTTAAACCATTCATTTTGATAAAATGCCCAATACATTTGTATAGACAATTTTTTAGATGTAATTCCTGATCTGTTAACCCACAACTTCACTAGATTTTTAATTTTATTTTAACAGTGACACTGTTTTTGTTATCAGAGGTTAGTCCCTCCTTGTTTTTCTGCTCCTTATTAATTAAATGAATCACAAGTCAATGCGAACATTATTAATTAAATAAATGATTTGTAAAAAAAAAAAAGTTAGTTCCTTTTATTACATTTTTTAAATCTATATTGAAGAAAGTCAGAAAAAAAGTGAATAATATATTGTAAATCGCACATTCTAAATTTTTAGAGAAACTATAAAATAAGAAATATGCTTGATTGCTTTGCTAATTTCAAGACTTGATTGGAATAATATTTCAGTTTCATTTATTGGCTCTAAAAATATGGATTTTCTATTGATGTAAAGTTGAAGAAATATTTTGTCGGGTTTGGGGCCGATGTTTGTGAAATAATTATTAAAATAAAATGTGATAATTAGAGCGTCGGTAAATCATTGTCAATAAAGTAAAAAGACATTGATTAATGAACATTCCTTCCAAGAATACAACTGGTTGTTTGCCAAGATTTATTTCTTTTTTGTAGGTATTAAGACAGTATACAGTATTCGCAAGATGATTCTTATAGCAATAGTTTAAGTAAAATTAGTTCAGGAGAGCAGGCTGGCTTTATTCTACGGGGTGTGAAATGGCTTGACAAAATTGAGAAAGCAGAACTAAATCCCTATTCCAATGCAAACTTATTGGTCATTTTTAGTATTTTAATTACCCGAAAACACATCCCCCACCCCCACCCTACATCCATGTAGTCAGTTTTTATAAATGATATATTTATTTTTATCACTTAATTTATGTCAATAGATTTTATTAGGCCATGAGTGATCCAAGGTTTGTGAATTTTTTGTGGAAATAGTTTTAATCTTTTTATTATAAATAGCATATAAATAGTGTTTAATTTGCCAAAGAACAAACCATAACCAATGTTTTGATTACTGCAGGAAGTACAGAAGACAAAGAAGTCTGAGAAAGATCATTAAGAAAAAAAAGAAGAGATAAAAATGATAATTTATGATTATTTCTTATTTAATTGAAGAATATGAGTGATCCGATATATCCGAATAAAAAATACAAGAAGAAATCTTGTCCACTTATGTCATTACAAAATATTTTGTCAATTAATGCACCAGTTTGGTAGTTAGATGGTCTAGTTGCAAGGGGATAAATGCTAAATTAAAGAGTTATAGATAAAATATCAGAGGTTCAATCATGTGTAATGTAGTTGGAAATAATCATTGAAATCCTCAGCAAGGTGCAGTCTTATTTCAATTTATTACTAATAATCGATTAAAAATATTTTGGTTAAATGTTCTAATAGATTTTGTGGGTAAGCAATAAATACCGTAACACAGATGATAATATTTTTAGGCTCAGCTGATTTTTCACAGTTATGTTGTAATAAATACAACTTTACAGCTATACAACACAATTCATAAATAAATTACAAGTAGGACTAGAGTATTCACAGTATGATATTTAGTGAAAAAAATTACATTTACAATTGACAGATTAAAAGTTTATGAAAATATTTATATCACTTTAAAAGTTATTTTTTCCGGATAATATACCAATTTTGTTTGTATCATGTGACCAAATTTAAGAATGTACTTAGTAAAAGTGGCGGGACAGAATTTCCTATATTTGTTGATATTTTCAGTCAAAGTATTTTCTAGGATTATAAATTAGGTTTTCAATTCAATCCAACAAATTATTTATTTTCTTCCAATGGTAAAACAAGAAAATTAATGCAAAGTTGGAAATCAATAGTAAAAATTGAGGTAAACATTTTTAGATGCATTTTTTAATTATTAATATTGAATCATTTTTATTTGTCGAATTTTGTTTAGACAATTTGCTATGATCTCATTTTCATCATATTTTGCTATTATATGACTTCATAGATGTAATTTATGATTTAGCTTTAATACTTTTGTCAAATGAAAATTAGTTTAAAACACATGATAACATTTTCCGTCCCACCACCCATATGAAGCATTTAGTTTTTCAAAATGTTTGCTTCAATTCCATTTTCATACTTTTTAACAATAATATGATGATTTTAAAGGTGTAATTTATGATTTCTCTTTAAAAAAATTAATTTTTGCAAATTAAAAAAAAAAAAAATTAAACCAATTCCATCTTGCCACCATAATATCATATAAAGTATATTATACCTTAAATAATGAAAAACTATGAGTGTTATTTCACAACTACAGTACTGTAGTGATGCCATCATTATAGAGCCCTAATGTTCCATACACCTTAACATGAATATAGCCAAAAAATTGTTAATTATTCTTTTACATCTTACAGATAACTGCAGTTGTTTTAAGGAAAGAATAGATTTTGGGGTAATTTTAAAAATTTTAGTCCTACTACTACTTTCCCCTCCGTCTTGACCATTTTATTTAAAATGATTTTATTCTACTGAACAAAACGTTGGAATGTATTAATATTGCATATAATCATAAAGCATAATACTAGCTACTCAAAAGTGTGTGCTTAAGTTACAATTTTAAAGTTTGAATTGAGAAGATAACCTGTTGTCTCATTTTTGTCTAATTTGTTCATTTCATTCAACCACTAAAATGTTTTAAGTTGCCATGGTGATTTTATCCAGTACTGTGTTTTCTGTTTTATGTCAAATTGAAGTAGATATCAGTACCTAGCTTAAGTTCATAAAACAAGTTATATAAGCTAGACAGAGAACTAACAGAGAAGGTTTTGGATTGCACACAAGTCTATCATGGAACAACCAATAAAATTGAGTTTAGGTGATATTCAAATATGGTAGAAATACGGTGGCATTAGTGGTACAAATCAACAGATTACCCAAGACTCATTAGTAACGGCGGTACATGACAGCCAACTTTTGAATCAACAACAGTGCAATATGATGATGTTATATTTCTAGTTTTCTTTATAATCCTCAGCATTTATAGTATCATGCTTCATAAAATAATGTGTAAGCTTTATAACCATATGTAGAAAGATGCACGAGTAATATTGAATTTCTTGTCTATTGTCATTTGGTTTTGTGTGTATAAGCAATTAAAATTCAATTGACTGTTAAATAGATATTAATAAAAATAATTGTTTAATTATTACCACATATTATACATTAACCTTCATCATACTATATTGGATCTAGTTTATTCTTTGGAATAATATGAACATTTATAATACTAAAATTTGCAATATTATAGGTCTTTAAAATGAAGAAATTACTAGCAAATATAAAAATTATGTGTTAGAATTTTTCCTCAATGACCACCTTTTAATGAAATGACATTGAGAATCATTTAATTTATTAATTGCAATATTGCTTTTAATGCAAAGTAAGATATTGAAATAATTATTTCACCGAAAATTCCTTCATGATGCTACTAATTTTATGTTTATCAAGCTCTCAAAAGACTTGAGTACCAAACTGTGCTGTTGTAAGCATAGAGAAAATAGAACAGAAGGAGTAACATCGAATAGTTTACTACTGCTTAATCCAATTAAACGGTCAACTAGCTCCTATAAAAATGCACTACGACCGCCCGTGGAGCTTATCACAAAACGATCTCTTTATACACACAGCTACTCGCCGCCGAATGTAAAACCTCTATAGGCAGGGCAACGTTAGTGGAGTAAATAATTTCCAACAGATAAGTATTAAAAAAACAAAACACATGCGCAGTAGATTTTTTCGAGTGCTTTTTTATGCGTGTTTACGATACACAGATAGAGAATTTTTCAACGAGAAAATCAATACTTAAAACATCAAAATCGGCCTTCAATAAGTGCTTGTTTCATTAATTGTAAGTACCGACTCATTTTATATGCTATCATGAAATGAATGTGACTAAAGTATGTTTTTAAGAAGTTCCGGTTTTCACCTGTTGATTAAATTTAGTTCTATCGAAAGTGGAAAGCCGTAGCTTTCATGTGATACCAAAAATACATGTGTCCGTGAATGTCCGGCTGAGATATGAGTGGAAGAAATATCACTAAATTTTGTTCGCCCGGTCCCAAAACTTCGTAATCTTGCGTTCGTTTTAACTTGTTCGTATACGGTGATACATAGTCCTTAGCCTTAATAATAATCAGTAACCGTATGGAGAATAATAACAATATAATATTATTAAACATATTTTAATTTAATGCATAGGTAGAGGCCTAGCCTAAGCTAGGCGGCTTAGCCCAACTAGTCAGTGGTAGTTGTAGATAGTAAGGGCCTAGGCCTACTACTACTACTGCTTTACTAGGCCTAGGCTAGGGGCTACGCCCACCCAGTAGGCACATGCATGGAGCATATGGTTGGCCCTAACATTGAATGGTATTGCCTAGGCCGGACTGAATGATAATGGTGTTAAAAGAATAATTGAATTAAAATAATTAAATTGTACATGAATTTCTAATAGCCAGATTAAAAAAATTAAACCATATTGTTAACAATTAGTACAGTATAATACTGTAAATATAGTATTAAACAGAAATAAAAGAAATTTAAATAATATGCTCTAATAAATGATACGTTAGTTACTGTAGGCCTAGTAGCATAGGCTTAGCCAGAGAGTCGTCCGGTCGTCGTCCACCAATATTTGGTCAGGATTTCCAAAGATGGGCGTGGCCCGTCCATCGGCCAGGTGCCACGTCCACTGGCTTCCATTGTGGGCGGCCTATTTCTTTTTCTGTCTAAACCCCTGCCTAGTAGTAATATTAATAATTAATAAAATGTCATTTAATAATTAATAAAATACTTGTAGTGTATTGCAGTAAATGAGTAATACTAAAAGCAACGTAAGGTTAATACAAATGAGGAATACTGTTTTTATTTTTTAACCCATCATACAGTTTCTATGTAAAATGTCATAAAAAAACATTTATTTTTAAATAAATTAAAATTAAAATGTATTTTTTGTTTTCTTTTAGGAAATGAGCAACCATTCTATATGCTTGAAGCCTGTTTGTAGGCTTTGTGGCTTGAAACAGGCAATACCTAAAGACCGCTGCCCTTATTCAAAGGAAACATATCAATCAATCATAAAGTCTAGCTTGTGTCTCGACATCACTTCAGATGTTCCAGAAATCCACCCACCCTTTATTTGCTATTATTGTGTGTTAAAACTTAAACGATGGAGGAAAGAACACAGCAAGAAACGAAAAGTATCATGTAATATCGAAGTTGCAAATTTTGAAGATTTTAAATGCTTAACTTGTACACCAAGCGAGGTTCCGGAGGTGCCTATTACTCTAGACGAGTATATGAATGAAGCAAGGAAAAATTCCTGCCTTGTTTCTTGGTTTCCCTCTAAAGAAGAGCTCATCATTATCAGATTATCCCTGGCTGGTGATGTCGAAATCAAGTTAACGGTTAGCAGCAACTTCACATGGAGTATTGTTGTAGCCGGAGTAACCATGCACACTAAATGTGTTCTTGGAGAAGATTTTGGGGAGAGTCTTAAATTTGAAGATTGGTCACGTCTTTGCAGTTTGCTGGTAACAGCAAAAATTTGTAAAGGAAACTCAGATTTTCCTTGCTTAGTTGAGAAACGAAAAGGTCCAGATGGGCAGCTGCCTTTGAAGGTAACACCGAAGGATGTCTTTATTGGGAACACAATCAGACACACAGATTGCAGCCTGCTTGTTCCCCAAGACATTGACCGTTGCAAGGTATGCAAGATTCACCGAGCAGACCTGTGTTCTTTAAGGAGCGCATATTCTAAAGAAAAAACTACTTTGACTGTACCAAACAAGTTTCTGTCGAATTTCCAACTTTGTAACAAAGCAACTACGTTACAGTCTGATTGCCGAAGGTTAAAAAGGAGAAGCGGCTATCTTGAAGATAAGATTAAGAACATCTATTCACAGGAAAGTTTGGAGCTTTGTCCACAAGCATCGTTTTCAATGGAAAGTGTTATGGAAATGACAAGTTCTGAAATTGAAAAGTCATTGCCGATGAATTCAGCAGCGAAACTGTTGTGGGAGCAGCAACAATCATCATTCAGAAAGGGCAAACAGATGCGGTGGCATCCAGCCATCATTCGTTGGTGCATCGCTGTCCACAACCGGTCGTCGTCAGCGTACAATTTGATCAGCGAGTCAGGTTTTTTGAGGCTTCCCCATCCTAACACCCTACAGCCTTACAGCCACTTTGCTGGTGTGACAACTGGTTTTTGCCATGAGATGCTTGACAGGGTTGTAGAGGATATAAACCTCTACCAAGAAGGTAATGACTTAAAAAAGCACGTAGTGCTTTTATTTGATGAGATGAAGGTCAAGTCTGGATTGTTTTTTTCAGTCAGCTCTGGCAAGATCATCGGAACTACAGATGTTGGAAATTTGGCCAATGAAATGCACTCATTCGAAAGAAAGTGTAGAGGAAACCCAGATCCACCGATTGCCACGCATGTTTTGGTATTGATGTTGCGAGGTTTGTTTTCAAACCTCCATGTACCAATTGCATATTACCCAACAACAGGAGCTTCTGGCTGCGACTTGTATATGGCAATTTGGGAAGCTGTTGAATATATTGAAGTTGCTGGCTTTGTAGTGCATGCATTAGTATCTGACGGTGCTTCACCGAACAGAAAGTTTTACAGGCTTCATTCAACACCAAATAGTGATGGCGTCACTTACAAGGCTCGGCATCAGATGGACCAAAATCGCAATGTGTATTTTTACAGTGATGTTCCACATTTACTGAAGACGCTTCGAAACAATCTGGAAAATTCTGGTTACAATAACAAGACCCGAAACCTCCATGTAAGTACCATTATTAATTTAACTGGTTATTTTTTTCTTCATAGCCAAGGGCGTAGTCTGGTTCTTGCACGGGCTTGTGCAAAAATTACCTGAGGGTGTGTGATTTATAATGTGGAACTAAATTAAACATTGTTTCCTCTTAAATGTGCAACATTGACATTTCAAAATTGTTTTTTAATGAATTAAAATTCAAAGATTCAAAATAATTTTGTGGTATGACTGGTTATGTTTTTGTTGCATGTGAACACCAGCCTAGTTAACACATCTTTTTTTTTTTTTTTTTTTCCAATTTTCATTATTAGTACAACAAACAGGATATAAAGTGGAACCATTTGCTTGACACTTACAACTGGGATGTGGGAATGCAGAAAACCTGCCCAGGGCTGCGAATGCTGCACAAATGGACCTACGAACACCTCCACCTCACACCGTCATCAAGAATGCGCGTATATATGGCTGCACAGGTATATATTAGTGTTTACATTGGTGTCTATTTTTGCCACTGAATCAATAAGATTAATGCACATATTAAGTTATTCATAAAGTTTCCGTCCAATTTTTTTTTTTAGGTGAGAAGCAAATAAAAGTTACATTATTCTAATGATTGATATGTTTTGGAATATTTTTGTTTTATTATATTAGGTGCTGAGTAGTTCGGCTGCAAACACTATGGAGATGATGGGTCGTCATGATATGCTATCAACAATCAAATTCCTCAGGATGGTGGATCAATTTTTCGACTGCCTCAATGTGTCAAATTTGTTCCAAGGAAAAAGAACAAGAAAACCTGCACTGGAACCCTACAGAACTAAATCTGACTGGCGTTTTAAGGTAAAATTTGCATGCAAAAATATTCTAGTTGTATTGTATATGGTATGTGTAAAGTGTAAAGTGTCAGTATATTTTATGTATTGATAGTATTTATAACTTATTATCACCATTTTAATTGTTTTGTCTTCTGATCGTTTTTGATGCGCTGTTCTGTACATCTTTGCTTATCCCTCGGGAGGTATTATGAAAATAAGTAAATAAATTGTCAATTAACACCAATTGGTTTGTTAAATTTTCAACTGGAACTCTGTTTAGTGATTTCATGTCGTTTTGTTTTTAATATTATTTAAGTTATATATACTTCAATAAATTCCTTTTAGTGGTTGCAAGACGACTTTCTGGGGTTTTTCAAGGAGTGGGAAGCAGAGGTAAACAGACTTGAAGGCGTTGAAGAAAGTATTACATTCTTTTGTGTAGCTTAGGAAAGAATATGTTGTGCTTGTACTGCACACTTGCCAAGAGCTCAAAACCTTACAATATGCTTTAGCCGTCTGGCTTTTACCTTTAGAAAATCTTTTTACTAGTGCATAAGGCACATAGCCTGCTACATATCTAACAACTTGCTCGGCGTGTTTGTCTAATTCAGGAGCAGCTTTCCCTTCACTTTCTTCTGAAAGATCAACCTTATGTTTATCTACCAGCATTAGCTTAAGCAGTGGTTGAATGGTTGACTGTCTTTACATGCTGGCCATGTGAGTCAAGATTGAGAGAATCTAGCAAAGTGACCCATCGATCTACACTTGTAATCATGTGCTGATAAAAAGCCTGGCACATAATTTCATCAGCTCCTGGTTTAAGTTTTTTGGAATTACCAGCCAAACTAGTTTGGTAGAGTTCTCCCAAAAGTTTAAAAAAAGTGCAGAATTTGTGTGTTCCTCCAAGTCCTTAGCCAAAGAAATAACACGCTGAGCTATCGGATATCTTGTATTGCTGTATACTGGGTCTTTCTTTAATAAGCCAAGTGCTGACACAATATAGTCATTCATCTTCCTAACAGCATCTTCTTCCGTAAACCTGTTTACAGGTCTATCAACACCTAAAGAGTAAAATAAATATATATTTTTATTTAAATTTTTTCATAATATAAATATAAATGACATAAAATGGTAAAACGAAGAGCATTGCACAGTAAACTTACTTTTTTTCTTGGTCTTTTTTTTGTCTTGTGCTTTTTTTGTCACTTTCTTTTTTTTTTGAGACACTGAAGAAGAACTAGTAATATTATCTGCTGGTGTGTTGGTTTCCTTCTCATGTTCAAAGTCCACTTCGTTTTCAATCAAATTTTCTTTAAAAAAAAAAAAAAAAGAAATTATTCAGATTTTTAAATAAATTTAAAATGTTTTTCTAACTCTTCAATTAAATTTCTATGCTATAACACGGACACTGAATTCAATATATTTACTTGAATATTTTTACCGTGAATTTTAATTCAATACATCCGGTCGAACCGGGAGCCGTCCCGATTTCGTCTGTTTATATTGTGCGAAGGGAGGGAATACAAGAAGATGATAGCTGAGCTTGGTGGAAACAGAAAATAAAATGTTTATGTCCCCACGCCTAGGCCTAAAGCAAAAAGGAGTGCTCATAAAAATAACGAAATTTTATTACCAACTAGCCTTTTTTAATTAAATTTAAAGTTATGAAAGTCTCGCCTAGGCCTGGCGTAGGTAGGCAGGCAGATGATACTGTATCGTATTCATACATTCACGCACCACGAAAGCCCAACTGGCCTAGCTAGGCTACTACAGGTTCTAGGCATAGGCATAGGGCCCTACCTAGGCTAGGCCTAGTCATAATTAATGAAGTATTATTAAATAATAGTTAATACATTACATGGTACACCTTCGCATTCATTAATGCTAAATAAATAAAAAACTATACCATTTTCTTGATCTTCTTGTTCATTAGCAGCATCCAATTCATCGAGAATTTCATAATCTAGTTCGTCATTTAATTCGTAAAAATCCATCGTGACAGCAGAGCGATAAAATGCTTGGGATGACAGTTCTCTACGGACAGACGACGTCACGTAGTTGTTTATCTTGGTGTGACGCGCTAAAAATAAATTAGGCTAGACGAGTTACGCGCATGCGCTGTTGATGTTTCTAGCTCACTGAGCGATTAAGATATTACGTAATACTGAGATAATTGCCATCGCGGCGAGGAGGTCTGTACCTTTGATCTTAGATCGATGTTACTCCTTCTGTTCTATTTTCTCTATGGTTATTCAGAGTGTCTGTTCTATTTTCTCTATGGAATAACAGAGACAAACAGACATCAGCATGATATCACTGATTGTACAATTGCTGATTAGCCTTTCTTGTGAGATAGAGGGAATAATTGATTTACACTGTTTTATTCCATTGCATATTTATCTATTTTGCAACAATTTCATACAAAAATGATTGTATATTGCTAAACAGAATACTGTGAAATTAAATCATTGGTGTAGACAACTGCTCATTTAGACTGGGAGCCCAGAAAATTTAATCATGTGAAAAGAGACAAAAGGTTTGATGGTCTGGTCATGATGGTATAGGGCCAAGATACAATATTCAGTATTGCTGCCAGGGCACATCCTGTACAGGCAGTCTGGGAGGAAAAAATAGGGGTAAAAAAAATGCATTTAATCATGTGGAGAGATACATGGACAAAAATAATTGGATATCACTCCCAGGAAGGTACTTTGGATAATTTCACCAGTGACAGGAACTTTTTCCTGTACGTGACCTGAAACAGTGACCCTAAAGGCCACGCCCAAATGACAATAATCATGTCAAGAGAGACATGGATGAAACTTTGTCCATTAGCAATTACACATTGGGGGTAACAAAAATACCAATGACAGCAACTTTATCTTGTACATAAGCCCAGACAGCAGCCCCAAGGAGCTCCTATGGTGGCTATGTAATAAAATTAAGCACAGAGAGACATGGATAAAACTAACTCGGAATGACTACTTGTACATAGAAAATTGCTGAAAAACTTATGACAGAAACTTTTTCTTGTATGTGACCTTAAACAGTGACCCTAAAGGCCACGCCCAAATTACAATAATTATGTCAAGGGAGACACGGATCAAACTTTTTCCACTGGCACTATTATCATCATCATAGCAGAACAAACAAAACCACATACACATACAGCGATGCACTGGACATGATTATGTTCATACGATCATAATATACATACTTCCTGGTAAGACATTTGTTTTTAGTTTGTTTTCTAAACATTAATTAATCTTTATTTCATATAAAGAGATTTTGGCAATCACTTAAGGTCCGATTCGATTTCAAATTATGAAAAGTGTAGGCTGT